CAGCAAGTGTGTAGTGTTGAATCTCAGATGTCATCTCAGGCAAGAAACAAAAATGCTTTGATTTTTGAAAATAACCTTTGATGCCTAAAAAGGCTCTAATGAATGCTTTCCTTCCAGGATCTCAAACCATGACTTTCTGTGCATACCAGAGAGGCAGCCCTGGGAGACGGGCATCCTTTGCTCTCTGGGCAGAGACTGCCTTGCCCTGCTGGGATCACCTCTCTCTCCTTGGTGATGAGAGGTCACAGGAGGGACGGACAAACGCAGGGGCTTTCAGGAGGCAACCTGTCCCTGTGGTCTTTTTTTTTTATTTTTTATTTTTTAATAATTTTATTGATTTTTTTTACAGAGAGGAAGGAAAAGGGATAGAGAGCTAGAAACATCAATGAGAGTGAAACGTTGACCAGGTGCCTCCTGCACACCCCTTACCGGGGATGTGCCGACAGCCAATGTACATGCCCTTTACCAGAATTGAACCTGGGAACCTTGAGTCCGCAGGCCAACGCTCTAACCACTGAACCAAACTGGTTTCGGCTGTGGTCTTTTCTTATGGGTGGCCTTGTCAGAGTGCTAATTGGTGCCTATTTCACTGCCAGTAATGGAGGAAATCTGTTAGGAGATTTTGGGAGACTTTGGAGTCTAAAATCAGCACAGATTGGTCTCTAGGATTTTCAGAAGAGAAGGCTTATGGAATGATGTGCTGTGGGTTTGTGAGGTAGACTTTCTTCTGAGGAGAAATTCCCGGCAGAGCAGGTGCTCAGCTTGTACTGAGAGAACCAAGCCAGAAACCCTAAAATGACTCCATGTTTTTCTGAGAAAACTAATCAGCGATATTTTTGTTTCTCTTGAGAAAGATGATTTTGGTTCTCAAGAGATCTTTTTAAATGTTAGTGTGGCTGAGAACTGCATTTTTATAGACAGATGTTGCTGTTAAATGTGCTTGTGGTAATGATGTTTGTTTAGTGCTTATCTCTAAGGAATTCGGGGCACTTTACAGCCACTTTCTTCATTATTTCTTAGGGTTTATCTTTTCCCTGATCATATTTTAACTGTGACTATAACTTTTTCATTCAGTTTTTCTCATTGGATTTTCTCTGAAAGATCTCCCATTAACCCCATCTCCTACTACTCTCTGAATTTCCAGTATCATATACTCAGTGTCTCTTTTTCTATTACTATTCTTTGTCACCCTTAAAAACTTTCCCATCTTTAATATTTTCACTGTACTTCCTTCTTAAAAGAAGAATTGCATAAAGCATACCTTATTCTTCTACATAAATAGTCCCTATTTTATTTTAGTTATTTTCTTATTTCTATCTTGCTACATTAAAAAGATGAAGCAACTCATTTGAAGTAGCTAAACACGTTCTTTGTGAGCACTGTTTATTGGCACTGTGAATCTGACATTCGGAGCAGATTATTTTTCCAAATTGTTTTCTCCTTTTAATCCTCAAGGGATTTGTTAACTTGCCTTCTCACTGCAAAAATTCATGAAGAAACAATAACAAAAGAATAATGACTTATGATAAATTAATCTTTTGTATAACAAACAGATTCTCCCCTTCCTCCAGGAATTAACAACTATGAATGCCTTTCTTTTTACTAGGGCCTAATCAGAGGGAAGTAGGGTGGAGAGCCTCGATCCTAAAGAGGTCCTGGGATCATGAGTGTGTGCAAGAGACACCTTAGAAATCACTCCCTATTTGACAGGTGTCAAAACACAGCACATAGAGTGTTAGAAATGTTTACATGGTCACAGAAACATTTAGGGCCTGTTTACAATTTAGTTTAGGAGAAAAGACACCTGGAACTTAAAGTCACTAAATAAAGCATGAAATAGCATGAAATAATGAATGATGTGGTTGCTCTGGGTAGACGTGAGCTGCTGAATGTTTAACAACTGGAGGCATGGGTGGAGAGAGGAAGCCCTGATTTGTTGTTTTCATTTTCAGAGTGGGTGCCCAGGGCCAATTTCAAACTACCAACCAGACACCAACAAGTTGGGAAGAGATGAGTACAATCCAGTTGGCTCTTTAGCGTGGTAGATATTGTCTGGCTAGCGTGATCAGGCCTTTAAAGAGGAGGAGAACTGGGCTAGACAATTCCTCCTCACATATCATCTCTTTCAGCCGGGAAGGACTATCCCTGGTCTTTCCATCAGGCAGCTGTAGGAATGCAACCCTGGCTCTTGCCTTGGCCTTAGTGGATTAAAGTGATAGCTCTTCACCTGATGAGCCATCATTTACATTTCAAGGCCCAGCTTAAAGATAAGGAATTTTACCAAGCTTATCCTTATCCCTGACCCTTTCTGTCATAACCGCTTCTACTCTGAATCCCAGATATATATATATATCTTTTATTAGAGCAGTTACCAAAGCCTAATTTGATATTATTGTCCATGGATGGTATCTTTCCCCACTCGACTGTCCTTGGAAGACAGGAACTGTCTTACTCTTGCATTGCCTGAAAAGCAGTACTGTGTGGCGGGTCATACCCCAAGCTCTGGAGCCAGTCTGTTCAGCTTCAAATCCTGACACTGCACTCACTCAACTCAAAACTGTGAGCAAGTCTTCAAACCCTCTCTGTTCTCATCTGTAAAAATGAGAAATTAGACAGTAATCTCCATCTGACCAGTGTGTGGTGATTAAAGAGATTATTAGGTGCATTCAGTGCATAGCACATACTAAGCCTTTGATTAATGTTCTCTGGTATTGTTATCTCTACAATATAACCCAGTGCATGGTACAGAATTGGTGTGTAGTTATTGTTGGTTGACTTGCATTAAAGTGAAGCAAGGATGTGATCCAGCTAGCTTGAGAGGAAGTTGGGAGAGAGTGTGCTAAAGGGGACTGTATGAACAGATTATTGTTGGGTAAATGAAAATGATATTGTAAACAAGAGTCAGCTGATCATAGAATTTTAAGATCAGAACCTAGTTTTCCAGCTGTGGCATGATGAACACTAGAGCAGAATGGGATCATCTATGCTCTCCCCTCATCTCATGTGCTTGACATTGTAAACCTATATATTATATTTCATCTTGTTTATAAGGGTGCTATGAAAATGTTTGGCAGAATGCTTTGTCTGCAGCATTTTTGAGTCACAGATATAGGGGATCTATCAGAAAAGAAAATGCAGATAGCTTATTGAAGCATGTTCCTGATTTACCCATGTTAGCTTCCAATACCAACAACTGCCTTTTCTAAGTTGAACAAAAGATTCATGTTTCAAAATGGTGAAGTTACCTTTATCAAGGTAGATTAGGCCTAATGCACATACCTACCTATATGAGAAGTGCGGACACAATCCTGAAGGTGATGGGAGGTTGTTAAAGTTTTTGAGTATGTGTCCTATGATGAAGTGATGTTTAAGAAGAGCCATCCAGCAGCTGTGTCCACAATGGGTGCCAGGAGGAACCTTATGCTATGTCTGAAGTAGCTTCAATAATCTCAGAAGGAGCTGCTGGGTTACTGGGCCAGTAGCAATAAGGATGGAAGAGAATAAAAGTGGATTTAGAAGGAAAAAATACAAAGGGATTATTGGAGGGGAAAGTTAGCAGTAGAAAAACATAACATAAAAATAGGTACTTTAGAACTTCCCGACCTTTTTCACATCATTGAATATGTAAAAAATAATATCAGTGTGGCCACTGGGGTAAATAGGGCTGGTTGGAGATGGAGGTGACCCAACATCATGGGTCTACAGGGCAGGGTCTTCTCTTCTCCAAGTACTCACCTCCCAATCTCAGACTTATAAGTTATTTGGACATTTCTGCTGTAGACATTTAAGTCCATTAATCTAAGCCTGCTTGAAAATGTATGAAGCTCTGCCATTTTTTTTTTTTGCTCCTTATTGATTTAATGCATCTTATTGCATTAATACATTAAGTAGTTTTGTAGTCCTAGCACTTTACCTGTGCAGCTAATTTGATTGTGGTATGGAGGAAATTATAGCTTGGGAAAATGCAAGAGCCTGAAATCCATAATTCCCTGTGATAATCCAAGATTTTTAGCTATGTAAATTAAAAGGTGTTCCCTCTTTCTTCAATAAACATAATGACAGAGTGGGAACAAAAACCCACCAACACAGTCATGCAGATTCTATAATGAAAACAGGAGAGAATGGCTCTTCTAAAAGATAATGGAACCCACACATTTCTCCTGATGATTGGTAGCAGGTCCACCAAGAGCATGATTCCAGAGGGCGCCCACCTTTCACTTTGAAATATGTGTGAATGGTGTTCCCTGAAGTAGGGTACACAGCCTGTGTGGCCATATGTGGCAGCTCACAGAGGGACCTATATGATTCATCCTGGGGCTTTCACCCAGCTCAGCAGGTGCATATCTGCATTGACCTGTGGCTTTCATCAGCAGCCCAGCCACACTTCCTTCCCAGCCAAGCTGAGTCAGTATTCTTTAATCCTGACTTATCATTTTATATCAGTTCAGATCTATTCAGTTTCCTCGTGGCTTCCCACTGGACCTCTGTTACAAGCCAAAACACATCCTTCTGGCTCATTTGTTTCAGTCATTCTGTTGACCTTTTCAAAGCGATTTGCTGCTCTCACCTGCATACGCATTGTCATAGTTAAGTAGAAAAAAACAACAGTCACACAAGCAGAAAGCTGTCATCTTTCCAGCACTTGGTGTAGTTTTAGCACTTACCCCCAAAGCACCATAAATATTTATTTACATTTCTGATTCCTTCACTCAGTGTGGGGTGAATGAAAAGCAGAATGATGCTCCTTTGAACCACAGGTCTTAGTGTGTGTCAGCACATAGTAGGTCCTCATAATATTTGATAATTAGGTGAGTAAATGAATAGATTGCTTTTCTTAGATTTGGACACAGTAATTTCATTTTGAGCATATGGTTTAAAGATGATTCTTCTCTCTATTATGTACAATGAATGGCCTTTGTTTAAATCTTTCTGGGTGAGGCCAGGAGACATTACTATGTCTCCAACAATGGTTTCTGGGTCTTTTGTTTACCTCTGTGCAGGTGGGGAAGTGGAAAGACAAGTCCTTGCAGATGAAGTACTACTTGTGGCCCCGAATGTGTCCTGAGACAGAAGAGCAGGAAGATGACCATCTGAGCATCGTAACACTGGAGGAGGCTCCGTTTGTTATTGTCGAGAGTGTGGACCCTCTGAGTGGAACCTGCATGAGAAACACAGTCCCCTGCCAAAAACGCATCGTCTCTGAGTATGCACCTTCCTCAGTGGCTTCAGATGGCATGAGATAGTGAGATTTGACCTAGCAGTTAGCACCTGGCCTGCCTGGAACTTGAAGTGTAGAATGAATTGAGCACCATGCCTGATTTTCATTTACCATTGAGAAGTAGGATTACTGACAGCCCTATGGTCTGATGTTGGATTCTGTCCAGATCATGACCTGGAAGAATTTCTGCCAACTATACTAATGTTTCTTTTGCCTTGTCTGATCTCAGCATCTAGAATCTCCAGTTTGTGGAGATTCAAGTTTACATTGGTAATGAAATATATTTGAGGAGTCAACGTGTCCTGAAATTTTGAGATTTAGAAATATATTTTAGAAATCATGAAAATGGTTCCCTTTGGTAAGAGTGGGAAGTCCCTGAAAGGAAGAATAAGAGGCCTCTAAGAGAGCAAGCAGATAGCTCTGGTGATGCTGAGGATGAGGTTGGGGTGGGGGAGAGATGATGGAGTTAAGCAATAAAGAGAAAAGAGAAAGAACTCATGAACATGGACAACAGAGTGGTGATTGTAGGGGAGAGGAGGTTGGGTGCAGGTAGAAGAAGGCATGGGGTAATAAATGGTGATTGGGGTGGGAAGAAAATAAAAATATTATAACTACAAAAATAAAAGAGGCCTCTAAGGTGCTGGCAGCTTCTCTGTATCTAGATTTGGGTGCTGGTTCAATTGGTGCATTCACTGTGTGAAAATTTATACAACTGAACCCTTAGGACAGGTGCACTTTCCTGATGTATATTATACTTCAAAGGAGCATTAAAAATTGTGAGAAAATCTGTTTTGCTGCAGTGAGTTAATGACGGAATTGCAGTTCCGTGGTCTGATTTATTCCCTCGCTTAGGCCTGATATAAGTTGTAATGGCAAAGGGTAATATTTTGCTTCTTATTGTAAGCCTTGTTTTTGTTTTGTTTTGTTTCTTTAACGGTTTAGGAATAAAACAGATGAGGAGCCAGGTTACATAAAAAAATGCTGCAAGGGCTTCTGTATTGACATCCTTAAGAAAATTTCCAAATCTGTGAAGTTCACATATGACCTTTACCTGGTCACCAATGGCAAACATGGGAAGAAAATCAATGGAACCTGGAATGGTATGATTGGAGAGGTGAGTATCAGGAATTAAGGGCCATTTCCAGATCATGACCTGGAAATTTTTCAGCTAACTGTACTAATGTTTCTTTGGCCTTGCCTGGTCTCAATAACTAGGACCTCCAGTTGATGGAGATCCAAGTTTACACTGTTTGATTTAAATACCAAAAACACTCTTGTTTTACAAATCTTAGAAAATATAAACCAGTAAATAGAATATACTCTTCCCACCGCACAAAGAAAACCACTAAAGAGGTATGAGTTATTTTCCTTGTGGAGGCCCCTCCCCTTCCTGAATGTTCTAATGGGAGCATTGGGTATTTCTCCCCAGGTGGTCATGAAGAGGGCCTACATGGCGGTGGGGTCACTCACCATCAATGAGGAACGATCCGAGGTGGTCGACTTCTCTGTGCCCTTCATAGAGACCGGCATCAGTGTCATGGTGTCACGCAGCAATGGAACTGTCTCACCGTCTGCCTTCTTAGGTATGTGATGAGCTTGCTGATGCCAAGGAAATATATGTAAAGGCTGGTAGATGGAATGAGGCACAGTAAAGGGCAGGTGGTCAGGCTCTTTCATCCAGGAGGTGGTTTGCTGGAAGCTTAACTCAGCCAGTATTTCATTGGGGTGGGAGGCTTCAAAATTGATTATTCTCCAACATGAAAACTGAAGAACACTACCCCCCAAAAAATAGAAAGGCATGATATCTTATAAGAAAACTAGAGGCCTGGTGCATGAAATTTGTGCACTGGTGGGGCGGTCCCTCAGCCCAGCCTGCACCCTCTCCAATCTGAGACCCCACAGCGAGCATGCCTAAACCGGCAGTCAGACATCCCTCTCACAATCTGGGACTGCTGACTCCTTATTGCTTGCTTGCCTGCCTGCCTGATTGTCCCTAGTCACTTTTGCCTGCTAGCCAAATCACCCCCTAACCGCTCCCCTGCAGCTTGTTTAACACCTAACTGCTCCCCTGCTGACTCAATCGCCCCCAGTTTTCCTCCCCTGCCAGCTTGATCTCGTCCCCAATTGCCCTCCCCTGCTGGCCTGATGGCCCCCAACTGCCCTCCCCTGCTATCCTGATCTCACTGCCAACTGCCCTTCCCTGCCAGCCTGATCGCCCCAATTGCTTCTGCCTACCTGGTCATGCACAACTGCCCTCTGCTGCTGGCCTGATGGCCCCCAATGCCCCTCCCCCTGTGAGCCTAGTTGCCCCCAACTGCCCTTTTCTCTTGGCCAATTAGTTGGTTTCAATGCCTGTCAGTGTCAAAAGCTCCACTACCTAGACAGCCATTTGCTCCTCACAGTTCACCCAGATTTGGTTCTGATTGGTTAGTTTCTATGCCAGTCAGTGTCTCTGGGCCTATCAATGGGCCTGATCAGAAAGGTGGGGCTGATCAGCAGCCCTGGTGGAGGACTGGAGAGAAATGGAGGCACAGCTGCTGGCCAGGCCTGGAGAGAAAGAAAGAGGCAAGTGCTGATCAACAGCTGCCACAGACCCTGCTTCTCTCTTTAGGCCTCTCTCTGGATCTGATTTGCAGCCTCTTCAGCAGTCAGTGTTGGGTCACTGGCCTATAGCCTTAGTAGTCATGACAACCCAGCACTGACTGCTAGATTAAAACTTCTGGTAGGTTTGTTGAGCCTCTGGTCATTGTGGATGTGACAGACCCAAGGTTTTTATATTGTATATTAGGATAGTGCTGGAGTGGCAATCAGGGGTCCTACTTTGGTTCCATTCCTGCTACTTAATCATAATTTGACCTTGAGCAATTTCTCTTTATCCTTAGACTCAGCTTCCTCAACCATAGAAGACATTTCAACTAGCTGTTCTTTGAAGTTGCTTCCTGCTTTAATAATTTCAAATTGTGGATATCATTGAAATACCTATGACCTCTAAAAAATATTGATTGAGAGAGAGATTTGTTGTTCCACTTATTTATGCATTCATTGGTGGTTCTTATATGTGCCCTAACTGGGGACTGAATAGCAACCTTGTCATATCAGGATGACACTCTAACCAAATGAGCTACCCAGTGGAGTGAAATACCAGTGGTTCTAAATGTTCTTCAAGAATTTAGCTCAGTGCTACTTAAAAAGGTTTTCTATTTCTACATTAATTTTCTGAGGCTTTGTCATATAAAGCTGATCTTATTCTCTTCCCCATCTCACCCTAAGCTTCCTCATACCATTCAGTGCTCTCCCCTTCACAAACTGGAAATTCTAGTCACTTAGGTGTTAGAAGCTTTATATACAAGGCTAGGTGAGGCCAGGATTTCAATTAGATGAACTCTCTTATGAGCTCATACCCAAAATTTTGGCAGTATCTGTGTGAACAAGAGGTTGAAAAATAAAGTATCACCTTGAAAACAGAACGCTGGGATAGAAGACAGGAAGCCTGGTTTGGACATACACTGTAAACCCTTGAACAAGTCACAGTCTCTCTAACGGACATCAACTTTTTTTTTATTTTTTTTTATTTTTTTTTTATTTTTTTTTTAGGATGTTGGAATAAACCATTACTAACATCTCCTTATGCTCTATGGGAGAGGGGTGGTATTCAATTAAAGTACTGCAAAGTGGTGTTACAGGTTCTGTAGTTTTCTATAAATTACTCAAGTTTCTCAGCCAAACTTCTTACAGTGAAGCCAATTCTGGCTCTTCCAATTTTATATGAAATGTTATTAGATAGCACACACTCTATTCCTGCATTAATTCTCATAGCAGCTTTATGTATTTTATTTGCTTTTCCTTTACAATGATAATTACAACATTAAGATATACAAACAAAACTACAATTTAGGCCTAGCCGGCATGCTCAGTGGTTGAGAGTTGACCTATAAATTAGGAGGGTTCAATTCCCAGTCAGGCCATTTGCCCAGGTTGCAGGCTCCATCCACAGTGTGGGACATGCAGAAGGCAGCTGATCAATGATTCTTTCTCATTATTGATATTTCTATCTCTTTGTTCCTCTCCTTTCCTCTCTGAAATCAATAAAAACAAACAAACACACACACACACACACACACACACAAAAAAAAAAAAAAAAAAAAAAAAAAAAAACACAAAACAAAGCAAAAAAACCCCACAAACCCCCCCCCCCCCCCCACACACACACACATTACATTCTAATTCTAACACGGTCAGCATAGAATTAACCTTACTTAGCTTCTAAACTAGAAGAGCAAGTGATACATTGGAATAGCCCTAGAATGACAGAAATGTCACGCAGGGTGTGTGTGTGTGTGTGTGTGTGTGTGTGTGTGTGTGTGTGTGTGTGTATCAGTAAGAGAAACCAGTATTTATTGAACACCTACTATGTGAGGTGACAGGCATTATTGTATTTATAAACTGTGACTGTATTATCTCATTGATATATTATTATACCCATTTTTTGGCTTACAAACTGAATCTCAGGTTAAGCAATTTTCCAACAGTCTCTCAGCTAGTAAAGGACAGATCCAGATATGGCTGCCTTCAGAGTCTGTGTCCTATTATAATATACAGTTTGAGCTCTAAAATGTGGTGGTCTGCTCTCATCGGTTTGGTTCAGTGGATAGAGCATCAGGGTGTGCAGGAGGCAGCTGATGGATGTTTCTCTCTCATCGATGTTTCTAACTCTCTATCCCTCTCCCTTCCTCTCTGTGAAAAAATCAAGAAAACATATTTAAAAAAATAAAATGTGGTGATCAGAAACAAAGATGTTAAATAATGCAATTTTAAACCACAGTCCTTTGCCTTCACTGACCTCACTTCATAAACTGGTCCTGAAAAGACCATGACCTCTGAATCTAGTTCACTGCTCTGTAAAATAAATATGGTAAACCCAAAATGAAGGAGCCATTATAAAAATTGGATAAAGTATGTGGAGAAATCACTTTCTAAATTGTAAAGACCAATACAAATATGATTGTTGTTGTTTTTATTGAGAAAATTTCTCTAAGTTTAATGGGGAGGGGGCGGGAGGAAAGCATAGAGAAAGTACTTTTTTACTCAATTATTCCCTAATCTTAAACAAAAGTGAAATCAGGGTAGCATTGCAATCAATTAGAGCCAATGGGGAGAGATGTTCTCTACTCCACTGCTTAGAGGCTTTGAATTGTACCTTCTACCCCCATCTCTGGCTGCCACTAAAAGGTTTTCCATTTCACAGCTGGCATGCCTCTTATAAAAGTCCTTTTCAAATTGATTAAGTGGCCAGGCTTTTATAATTCTCTTGAGGGTTCACAAGGAAAGGTTTCAAGTAAGAAAATATTTTCTAATTTCCAGCCATTTTCCCTTTTTTTTAAAATCTTCATCTTTATTAATGATTAGGAAGATGGAGAAAGCAGCATATTATTAATTCACATAGTTATGAGTTTACAATGTGATGAATTAGCTAAAAAGGCCAGAACTATTTTGAGACACAATTGAGGGAGCATTGTATCATGGGACTGAAGAGTGTCTCTTCTTCTAGGCCTTCAAAGAGACTACTACTGGAAGGTAGTATTCAATTTCTGAACACCTGTAAGCCAGAGAGTCTTAGATCAACTTGAAGGATCTCAGCAAAAAGCGATTAAAGAAAATATAGTGGAACATTATTGCCCTCTTGCCTGACCTTATCTCATCAAATATGTGACCTGATAATAGAGCCTGGCTTATAGTTGTCTCCTTAATTATAGCTGAAGCATGTTTCTTGTCATCTGCTAAATTCCCACTGTTGTAGATACTGTTATTCAATGTGGATGTGTTTTTGAACACTGACATATTCTCCTACCCTAATGATGTCTAATGAAATATATACATCAAATTGGGTTAAACAGTGTAAGACTAGGAAAATTTAAGAGAAGTGAGGGATGTGAACTATTTGTTGTATGTAATTATTATAGAATCAGTTCAAGCCTGAAATAATAGCTAAGTCTGTTGAGAATGAATTTGGTTCTGAGGCTTGTGAGCATTGGTGAAGACTTTTCCTAGATCTCCACTGTGTGGTGTGGACATGTAGGTGACACCATAAACCAAGAATCAGTCCAATATGATCCATTTACTCCATAGTTGGTATGTCTTCCAGTTGTACCATTTATCAAAAGACCCAGATACTGGTCCAATGCAGAAACTATTTCTATAATCTCAAAACTTCATAGGCAAGAGGCTGTCCTTTTTATGTGCTTGAAAGAAAATAAACCTTGACTTGCCCATCAGATATATGGAGATGCTCAGGCATAGCCTCTTATTCCTCCTCAGTCCAGGTGTTGGTTGTCTGAAGGGATGTACACACCTCTAGTTTGTTTCCCCCCACAAAGAAGTGCATGTTACATGAGTGAATACATAGATAAATTAATTAGAACCTCTTTGTTTTCTGTTTTAATCCTTAGCACTGATTTTTTTTCTTCCTTCCCCAGAGCCCTTCAGCGCTGACGTCTGGGTTATGATGTTTGTGATGCTGCTCATTGTCTCAGCTGTGGCTGTTTTTGTCTTTGAGTACTTCAGCCCTGTGGGTTATAACAGGTGCCTCGCTGATGGTAGAGGTAAGGCCATTAAAACTACTGCATTTCTGCATTTTTCTAGCTCTCGATTTTGAACCTCTGTACCCTTCATTTGCTGTCTTCTCCTTAACTTAGCCATTTCTGAAAATGAACCCTCTGCTTTCTATGTCACCAGCTTGAAGATTCGTTAGAGAAACCCCAATTAAGCTGTTAGTTTCAATACATATGTCCCCACCCTGTCTCAAGCCTGATCCCAAACCCAGTTCCACCCATAAGGAAATGATAGGAAAGCTGGCAGGAGATACCTGTAGCATAAAAGTGTAAGAGGAAACTATTTTGATAACCTTAAGCTACAAGAGTAGTTGTGCCTGAAAGACTTCTCCATAGCCAAAGGATCACCACTGAGGTACAACATCTCCAATGCACGTTTCCTGCTCTATCCCTCTGCCAGGGAGTATAGAAGTTGGACATTTGAAATACAATGGCCAGGAGATAACAGTTCTCACCCACAGCTACTACTAGTAAGGGAAGTCCAGTTTCCTGGGTAGGCAAGTCCAGAGATGTGAGGACTACCTCTGTGTTTGAAGCATTGATGAGATTTCACAAAAAAGTTCACTAGCTTTAGGAAGTGGGTGATGAGGTCCTTATAAACAGCTCTTCTAAAACTTTCTGACACCCTTTGCTTAGGATATATTACTTCTTTTCTGAGAGTTTTATCTTGGAGTTAGACCTTCAAGATGAAACATTCTTAGATTCTTAACCCTGGATACACATAAAAATTAACTGTGGGACACAAAAAACAGGTGTGCGGACTTCATTTTTTAATATTCTGATTTGCTAAGTCCAGATTGGGGCATTAGAATAACAATCCCACACCACACCAGTTTAATAAGAATCTCTGGAGATGGGTGCTAGGCTGCTGTGTTCTGGAATAGCTCCCTAGTGCTTCTGTTGACTTCACTGTCCATGCTGTGACCAACCACTGCACTGAAGTATTTCCAGGTGTTAACTTACCTTCTTATCTGTTGTGTGAACTCTGGGTGGAAGTTTGGCTGCCTCCACAGCATGGTACTGCCCAGGCTCTCCACCTCTGTTAGAGGGTCATCCAGAAGCGTGATATGCTCCCCATTGGTAACAAGTGAAACATCTGAGAAGCACATGACTACATATATACGTTGACCATGTCAAGAGCTAAAGTTACTGTACCCTCTCCCCTACACTGGAAGAAAATCAAAGAGGCAAAAATTCAGATATAAAATTCAGAGCAAGGGCTTACTTTACACTTACTTTACCAAATGATGCTTTGTCTTCACAATTGCATTCAACATGGGGCCACTTTAAATATTAAGACTCCTTGAAGCATTTTACAATGTATAAAACTTTTATTTATAAACATCTTTTTAGTTACACATCTGTTCCATGAAATCAGGTCTGTACGCACAGATGTGTGTGCACAGTTAGATATTAGGCTCGACATGTGTAGTCACCGGTGATTTAGTTAGCTGAGCAGATGCTGTAGGATCACAGATAGTATCATAAGACCTGAGCTAATGTGTTGTAAAACTGTGCAGGCAGATGTTCATTTCAGCAGTGGAGGGGCTACACGCAGACCGAGACATCAGGTAAGATCTTATCATCACCAAATAGAGAAAGCAATAAGGTCACAAGATTATCAGCAGAAGTCTTGAGACTATCTTCATACAGGGGAAGGAAGGTCAAGGATAGCCTGCCTCAGTGCCCACAGCTACCTGTGGCAAAGCTAGAGGTTTATGACTACCTGTCTGGGCTTCCTGACATTCTTCTGTCCAGGAGCTGCTACTGTAGGAAACCATTTGGGAAGTGTTGTCATTGAAGAGGGGTCATAGTTGTCCTTGAAACATTCAGTGCTTGATGTTAGACTAAGAAAAAGCCAGGATAAAATGCATTGAAAGCCATTTAGCATTCGTGTGAATAAAATTGGAGGAGGTCTATGACAATGGTAGAAAAAGACCCCACACAGTTCTTGCTGATCTTTTTGAAGTTGATATTTCCTTGGTAGATAGTACTGTAAATGTTAGGAACAACAAGAATAGGGACATGTGTGTGATGATAATGGGGTGGTTGCCTTTGTTATTCGAATTTGATATGACCTTGAGGGTCTCAATCTTAAGGGAAGAAAGCTAGCCACTCCAGTGCTCTGGCTGAGTCATGACCATTAGTTGGAGCAAGATCTCACATGCACCCCAGGCCTCTGCTTTTTCTCCTGAGGAACTTCCTTATGTCTTTCAGAGGGTCCCAGGAGAAGACAGACACAAGCTCTGTACTTAAAGAGCTTTCTGTGAAAGGGCTGGGTCCTGGTTGGAGGATTTCCTCCTCTGACCAGGAACTTACTAGTTATGTGTGCTTGTAGGTTTCAACAGAACCAGTGACTCTGTCTTAACTTTCTGTCTTTGCCTTTTGTTCATTTCAGAGCCAGGGGGCCCATCTTTTACCATCGGCAAAGCTATTTGGTTACTGTGGGGCCTGGTGTTTAACAACTCCGTCCCGGTGCAGAACCCAAAGGGGACCACCTCCAAGATCATGGTGTCAGTTTGGGCCTTCTTCGCTGTCATCTTCCTGGCCAGCTACACTGCCAACTTAGCTGCCTTCATGATCCAAGAGGAGTATGTGGACCAGGTTTCCGGCCTGAGTGACAAAAAGGTAAGAGGACTATTTAAAGCCTTCTATCTTTCCCTAGTCTCATTCTGAACCATACTCAAAGTTCTCACATACCTGTTAATTTTTCTAAATCTTTAGAATCCACAATTCTTTCTTATGTTTCCTTCAATTGGAGGAGGTCTTAAATGGGAGCAGAAAACAGTATTCCTACTGAAATAATATTACTTCACATTTGCCTTCTGATTTGTGAAAGGTTGTTATAAGTACACCCTGGGTTGCAAATAAGGGGCTTGGTATGTTAGCAGCTTTCTGAGTACATGGTACTTGTTGTTGGATACACTTGGGTGGCCTATCCACATGGGGCTTCTGTTTGGTGTTGTTAGAGGGCTGCCCCATGCACCCACGCTGAGGGCACTGGCCCATTGTGGCCTTCATTTTCCTCCCAGTGGGTTTTGCTGTGGGCTCTCCCTTTGTTCCCCTGCACACTCTTGTGTTCCCATGGCTGAGCAGGAGGGTTTTTCTCCTTGTGTCCTGAAGAGAAATAACTTCTATTTAACTTGATTACCCTATGTAATGCTGATTAATGGGCTGCCCCCATACCAATTGTGGGCCTCCCTGCTGGCCTATGCAGTTGAGACAGGAAGGAAAGTATCTGCTGGCTTCCAACTTTTCTGGGTACACATGTGCACAACCCATTCTGAATACATATGACTCTCTAGGTCTTCCAGAAGCATCATTGCTTCCATGGCAGCTCTGTCTTCTGAAACCATGATAACCAGATGATCCATGACCAGTAATAGGAGCTACCTTCATGGTGTGTCCAGTAAAGCTCCTGGGTACCTCCAAAATGATTCTGGAGACGTACTTACAACAAATTTTCTGTTCTGTTTTCTTAAAATGTAGAAAATGTTGATTTCCCACCCCTTCCACCATGATGAAGCCATGCAATATAGAGATATGTGTTTAGACCAGCTAAGTCAGACAGTGAATGATTTATCACATAGGTGTGATTTCCCAAAGATAAAATTTGAAATACTTAGTAAATGGTTTGAGAAGAGTGGAAAAAAGGAGATATTCTCTTCAGGGGCTCTATTCTGATTTCTCCATCTGCTCAACACTACTCACTAAGAATATTCAAAAGCATGTGAGAAAGATAAATAAGCTTCTTAGGGGAATGAAAAAATAATAATTAAATAATATATATATATATATATATATATATATATATCACTCACTATGTTTACCTCATATGTTATTTCATTCTCTGATTTGTCTTCCTTTTTACTTTATTTTTCTTTCTTATTTTAAAAAATATTACCTCTCTGGTATTTCTTTTTCCCTTATTTTTAAGATTTGTTTACTTCTCTCTTCTATCTCATGATTTATCATGCATTCATTCATATATTTATTCACCTATTTTTAAACTTTTTCCTCCTTGTTCTTTGTCTACATCCTTCCTTCTTAATTTTCTCCCAGACCCCTGATACAACCACTACTTTTTGTGCCTCTTTCTGTAACCTGGGCAGTAGTGGAGCTACACACAGCTGCTTCCTCAGGGCTCCATGCTGGGATGTGGCGTAGCTGGCATGGGGGTGGCTGAAGCATGACAGATCATGTGCCTATGTGTGGGTTTGTCAGAGGTAAGGCAGGCCATGTCCTCACACTAGGATATGGCAGAGGTGTGGTGGATCATGTCCCTACATAGAATATGGTGGGACCCTGTTTCCATGCAGTAAGCAGCATGGTAGCAGTGTGGTGGGTCACAGAACTTCCTGGGACTCTGGGATGTAAAATAGGGAATCCACCATATTTATCACCTTGTTTTCTTCAAATGTTTGAGACTGCTTGGACGCTGTATTTATCTTTCTCAGACCCTCATGGGCTACCCAGCAACAGTGGAATGATCTATTGGAACTAAGCATAATTGGGATGGAGGGGGATTGTTTTCTCTTCTGTGGTTTTGAAAGACATATCATTCTAGGCTGCTGGAACCAAAAATACTTCACCTGTCTGTCTTCCATACCATGTCGCCCATGATCTTAAATGTTTGATCTCGTCAGTTCTTTGCTTAAAGAACTTTAGTGCCTCCACTACTTACAGAATAATGAAGATTTTTTTTTTCATATGTGGCTTTCAGAGCTTTAACAGATGATTACCCATGTGTATCATTAGCCAATGCTTAGATTCTTGCATCCTACAGTTCTAGGCATCCTCCACTCTTTATCTTCCCCAACCATGCTTCTATCCATGCATCTGCCTAAAATATTCTTCTTTTCACTTCATTCACCCAACTTCTATTGGAACTTCAGGATCCAGATTAGAGATCATTTCATTTGTGGAGCTTTCCTTAGCTTATCTGGCAGTTATTCATTCTCTCATCTGTCATAGCAATCATTCATACCTTTATCATAACTCTTGTCTTCCACATTGTACTGTAATAACCTGCAGGTCTGTACTTGACTATATCTCCTTCTATCTGGTCATGAGCTCCAAAAAGTCAGTGATCATAACTTGGTTAACATTTTTTTAAGTCTGTGTGGAGAGCAAGAGAGAGGGTATATTTACAGAAGAGCCTCTTGTGCAGAGCTGAGTTACTAAACATTATAGACAAAGAAAGCAGCCAGGGAGCCAGAACTCTTTAACAGCTATTTAATTTGAAAATGCTTCAAAATGGTTATCTCTGATACATTTCAGAACTTTGCAAAGGACAAAATAGTGAAGTGTGAGCATCCTACCAGAAAGTGTCAACATAATTATAGAAAACATTTTTAGTAACTAATGACATATAACTATATGTCAATTTTAGAAGCAGTAATATAAATTAAAAAGAGCGTTTTTTGAAAGTACTAGTACACTGAAAATATCAAAATTCTTATTGTGTTTTTACTTAGAACACCTAAAAGAAAACAGACTTGGGACTAACTTTGCATGTGAGGAAGTGTATTCTGTGCATTTAGAAAAAGAAGAGAATAAAGTCACCAAAACAATATTCAGAATAGAAATGAGATGATTTTGAAGATTTTTTTTAGTGTAATTAAAGTTTTATTAAGGAAAGTAACAGTTAAAATGAAGAAAGATTTCTAAGTTTATTCTAACTATCACAGATGACATATCTTCTATTAACTCAGATCAAAAGATAAATATCTTAGATTAAGATGGAAAGATATTTGTAGCCATTACATTTATATGTTTTTGAAAAATTATCTTCAGTTTTGTGGCAGAGGCATGTTCCCATATCTCATTCATGTTAAGGCGCAAAGTCAGAATGCTCAGAGTTAAATTTCCATGAAAATATATTTTGGGGCTTCTTTTTACTGGATGGCTTCCATTTTGCAATAGCGCATGACATCAGTGAATTCAGAATTACCACACTACTTTCTATAACTAAATATGGGTCCAAGTGTTAAAATTTAGCAGCCTTGCTGTACATTCCATCAGCTCCCCCGTGGGAGGATGATGGGAGGAAGCTGGTGACATCTTTCTTCTTCTAACAAAGAGCCCACAATGCTAATTCTCATATTTCTCACCTATCCAGATGGATTTCTCCTTTCGCAACCTGCCAGCCACAGTATGGAGGGGAAAGAGCTTGGCCAGGTGAAAGATGGGACATATTTGCTGGGCACTGGGCATTGTTTTCTCTTCTGTGGTTTTGAAAGACATATCATTCTAGGCTGCTGTAACCAAAAATACTTCACCTGTCTGTCTTCCATACCATGTCGCCCATGATCTTATTAAATATGTCATAGATATGTTATATGTATAATCTTCATACAGGTATGATTACTCCCATTTTACCAATAAGGACACTGAGACTCTGAGAAGTTTAGTGAATTCCCTGAAGTCACACATTAGCAAATGGCAGAGCCAAGGTTTGAGCCCCTGTGCGTTTGGCTCTAAAATCATTTTGCCAGGATGTCTCCCTTATAGCTAACCCCAGACAAAGCTAGGGCATAGCTAAGGCTTGGGATTGACACCCCTGCCCCCACTTTCTCATTTCATTGCCTCCACTCTCCTTTAAGGACTTACTGTATCAGCTCCATTTAACCCAACCCTTCTCAGGGACAGTACACTACCAAGACTAGTATTCCTACTGCTACTACTATTACCATTACTGGTAATAATAATAACAGTTAACATAACCTCAACAATAATATCTCTGCTGACATTTCTTCAGCTCTTACGAGTCAGGCATAATGCCAAATACATTACATAGATTACCTTATGTAATGGTGCTATTAATATCATCATTTGTGCATGAGGAAACTGAAGCTTGGAGAGGTTAGGTGATTTGCCCTTCTGATGTTCCTGGCTGCCATCCTGTTCATATACCCATGTGTTTGTTTTTTGGTTTTTTTCCAGTTAATCCCACTGCTCCCTATCCTCCCATCTACCTTGTCATGGCAAGTTTACCAAGTTAGATCCTTTTGCTCTCCTAAAAAGTAACTATCTGATTAACAGGTCCAGGATAAGCAGATCGTATTTTAACATTTGCACTTTCTATAATATGTCTTTCAGAGGTTTTACTTTAAACAGAGGATAATGATGATTTCTAGTAATTGGGCAAGCTAATGGCCTCCAAATTGACTTTAGTGTGGTCCCATTGTGACCCTAAGGTTTACGCCGCTGTTGGAGGGTAGGAGAGGGTGGCAGCAGGGGAGAGAGAGGTCGGTTATGAAGTCAGGGGTGAAGAAAGCCCGCAGGGAGGCAAAGGCTACTAAGGTCACTGGAGGCTGCCATCTGACCACCGGGCTCCCGAGGGTATGTGGCTGTGTGCTGCTTCACACATTCCTACAGTCGGTCTGATATACACCCACATCATATTTTGTAGTTCTGTTCCATAAGGAACTAGTGGAAGTTTATTAACTTCAGCTTGTCACAGAGGTGCTCATCTGGTTAATGAGAGCAGCATCTCTGCCTGCATCATTGGAGGTATGATGATAATGGCCGACTAACAACTAAATGAGAACCCCCCCCTGGCTTTTCCAGGTAATGATGATTCAGAGTCCCATGGAGTCTGGAAGTCACCTCCTACCCTTTTGGGA